GCTGTGATGACGTCAAATGCGCGCTTTCATCGAGCGCGATTTTGTCCTCCGCGATTTTGTGGTGGAACTGATTTAGGAGTATCCTGCTAGTGAACGCGTATGAAGATCATTTTTATTGACCTGTACAAATATTTTTTCCCCATCCTTGAGCAGAGTTGTGTAGGCGGTAGATAAGGTTGACATGATGTCAGTTACAGTGACAAGAGTCATTATGTGACGAGCATGTAGGCCCATCATCCCTGGAATATATTTTGCTCCGGAGGGGCTAAGCCCTGTTGATGGCAGCTGTTCTCTTTGGAAATGGCTTGTTTACATTTCCCCCCTGTGTAATTGTCATAGATAGATTCGAAAAGGAAGTGGGGCATCTAAAGTTCCATTCTGTAGGTGCCATTTATTTCCTTTTTTCCGTTCCTCTGGAGAGAGAGAGAGAGAGAGATCTTTCAATGTGCAATAATCCTTTGTACATACTGAAGTTTACTCACTTAATCTTGGTTCACTAGGTGTGCCTGTGTGCTCACGTTAGCAGAAGAGAGATGGATATCAACAGTGGAAAAGGGATGAGCCACCCACATTTGGGAGGAAATGGAAGCAATCATTTTGAGAGCTCTTGGGGAGGGTGGGGTGGGGTGGATAAGGTCACGGGGTTTTCACGAAATAATTTCCCGTTGTATCTGACTTTATTACATCTGCAGGTTTTAGGTCCCGCTCCAAAGTGGTGTTCGTTTCTTGATAACCTAACAGAAGAGCTAGAGGAGAACCCGGAGACCACAGTTTATGATGACTATAAATTTGTAACAAGAAAAGATCTTGAAAACCTTGGTAAAGTACTTCTGCTGCAGACGTGATTTATTTTATCTTGCCTCTTTCCTTTGAGTATGACCTCAGATATTCTCTTTACTTATATGAACCTTAGTGGCTACAATATACCGTATTCCAAGATAAAATGTGTTTGCATTCCTGTCCCTAACGGTGGAGGATTCCTGTTTTGGTTTCCTTATTTTCCTACTCCAAATTGAGAACGTTGATTTCTACCTTGATCCAAGTTTAAAGAATGGTCTATATTGGTTGATTCAAACCACTAATTTCCCCAATTTCAATACTTTACATTATTATGGGGAAAAAAATAGACATTTAATTAGCATTTTTGAAGAAATGATTCTCCTGCTAAAGACCTTAATTTAAAAGCTGCTTGAGACTCCTTATTAGTAATTGAGGAAAATTAAACTTGTTTAATTTAAACTGTTAAAACTCTATATCAATATATTTTACCTAGGAGAAACCAGTTAAGCATATAAATTCTTTTTTTAAAAAAAAATCAACCTTGATTTAAACTTAAGTTTTTCTTTTAAACCTACATGTTCCTTGTTCCTTCAGGAATACTTAAAATTGTCATTTCTTAAGATTTATAGCTACCGTATTTTTCAGAGTATAAGATTCACCTCCCCCCCACTAAAGGAGCGTGGAAATGTCGGTGCGTCCTATACACCAAATACAGCCATTTTTGGCCTCCCGAACTCATTTCAAAATAGGTGAAAAACGGGCAATTTTTCACCACAATGGGGGTGTTTTTATCTTCCCCCACCCTCAGGAGCATTCTAAAGGCTTAACAGAGCTGGGGGAAGGGAAAAATGCCCCCGTTTTGGTGAAAAATGGCCAAAAAAGGGGCGTTTTTCACCAAAATGGGGGTATTTTTGCCTTCCCCCATCCCTGCTGAAGCCTGCAGAGTGCTCCTGAGGGGCCATGGAAGACAAAAACTTTTTTTTTCTTACTTACCTTTTCGAAATCTTGGTGGGTCTTATACACCGGTGTATCTCATTGTCCAAAAAATATGGTAGACATAAAATGGTTATCTTAGATTTTACAGGGAGTTTGTGATGGTGACTTGGAATCAAAAGTCTATAGCAGTGGTAGTCAACCTGGTCCCTTCCGCCCACTAGCGAGAGTTCCAGCTTTCATGGTGGGCGGTAGGGGTTTGCTGTAGCTCTGCTTTATAAATTTTA